TTTAATATTTAATTTCAAATAAGTTTCTAAATTAATTCCTACATCCATTACAACCATTTGAAGATCTTTCCAAATTCAACGCGTGTCATTAGTTACACCTCCACATAACACGTTAACTTGTAAATACGGGTAGTTTTGGAATCCCAAAAGTAGAATAAATCAGATTTTAAGCTAGATTAGGTAACTTGCTTACTTGGATCCTAGTCAGCGGGTTTTACTTGAAAAAATTGGGTATTTTAAATAGAAAAATAAAGGAAACGATTGTAGGTGATTACAAATGAATTTTATGGGTCTAAGCTCAATTTACTAAAAATTCTACTATGGCCATGTTATGTTATCATGTGGTTCATACTGGATTATATTGGATTAATCACAGCTTCTTGATGGAATTGATAATTCTACTACAATATTTGATACAAGAGATATTGGACGAGGAGAGAATCGAACTTTTAATCTCCAGTGCAATGGTAATGCGCTTACCACCACTTAAACTACAAGGTTCTTGGAATAATCCATCTACATTTTAGACTAGGATGATTAGACATAGTCAAATTCAAGTTATTTTTACCAAACACGTAACTAGGATTGTGAATCCTGTCAAGATATATACTCTGGCTAAACATGTAGCTTCAATATTCATAACATAACACAGTCAAAGTTTAGTGACCATTAATAATCTAATAATCATACATATAATAGCATCATAATCAGATAACTTCTGAAACTTTTTCTAAGAGATCCAAATGGTCGGTTGCTTCTAGAAGACCCAGTTCTAGTTGTGCTGGGTAGCCATTAGGTCATGCAAAGAAACCAAAGCCATGGCAATCAAAATCCTCATCTGCCTATTTCTATTAGTAAGAGGGTTCTGAGTGTTAGGCGGTGTGCTGAGTGAGTCTTCGCAGCTAGCCTCAGCCCTCGGTGTCACAGTCTCATACCTCTGCACACTGTCGTAATCCTTCTGGAAAAAAGACAGCGCAGCCGAGTCAAACGACTCCATCACCACACGGTAACCATTCTCACATTCTGTGAGGGCATTTTTGAGTGCAGGGTCGTTTGTGTTGCCAAGCACCTGCCTGATAAAGTCGTGTGTCTTGGTGGCATTGTCTGTGGCTCGCTCTATGGTTATTTGGGTGAGGGCAACAATATCAGCGTTTGGAGACTTCAAATTCTCCTTGAAAGTTTGGGTGCAAAACCCAAACTCCTCCATCTGCCTGCAAATATGATCGATCAGTTGTTGGGTGTCTTGAGCCAAAGATGAGGTGATATTGATCACGAGGAAGAAGAGAACCAATAGCATTGGAACACGTGGGGATGAATGAGACTTATAATAGTCAGGGGAAGCCATTGTTTTGATCTTTGTTCAAGGCTTCAAGTAGGGTTTGGTGATTGGAAACTGATGAGTAGAAATGAAGGAGACAGTGTATTTATAGGAAAAACGTTGTCTTGTAAAGTCAACTTAAGCTTCAAACCCTTTTGATTTTTCTTCATATTGTATCTCATGCAATCATATATTGCCTACATTAATATATTGTATCTCATGCAATCATATATTGAAGGGGACAGTGTATTTATAGGAATCAGAATCCGATTTGTTGGTTTCGCATTAATATATATATTGCCTACATTCCTATTCAATTCGCTTATTACTTAATTTTGCATCCAAGTGTTTTATGTAACAAATCTGAGAGAGTTATTCTTTGATTTTAGCATTAAATCCCAAATTATAAAAGATAATCTCGTGATACATTGCACGGATTGAAAGCTTTCAATTTAGGCAAGTATATAATTATTTTCCTCGTACGTATACATGAACAAAAAGACAAAACTAGATGTGTATAAGGGCAATGAAGAGCAAAGTAGATATGATGTTTTTTTTTTTTGGACAATGTGGTAATTTGAATTACTATAGTCTATAATCTATGGGAAAGGGGATTCGAATTTTGAGTGTAAGGAACCGGCAATTTAGGCTATTGATTTAATATTGCATTTTCTTATTAGTATTGTTACGGACACCAATTTCTTGTTCCCAATCTATGTGATATATGCCATTGCAATTCATACTGTAATATCATTTTTTTTTTAACACTTTTCATAATTAATTTTTTTTTATTCTAATTGAAATGTAATGGTAAAAAATGGCGCATGCTGTTTAGCCTATTAATACATTTCCTTATTGGTTTATTTGATTGGGGAAGAGGTTAGTGAAGATTTAATACTTTGGAGTAAAAGTATTATCTTAGTTTTAACAAAAATATCAAATCACAAAATTCATGAGAATCAGTAATTA